TAAAAAGTCTACAGTCAAATACTTTGCATACAGCTTAAGTTAGTACATCGTACGACTGATCAGTTTTTTTTTTTATCACAGGTGGCTATTTCCCTGGGAATTTTCTCAGTAGACTATCCTTCTCTGTTCGGTCTGTGTGCGACCCAGTTACCGGCGCTCAGTGGTCTCCTGAATCCTCTGATATATGCAATCACGTGGCCAACATACAAGCAAGCTTATATCCGCGCCTTACAGTGGACTGGTACTAAATGCTGTAACAAGAAATTGAAAAGGTCTTCTCGTGCCAGGTCTCACAACCTTATCTGTAAGTATCAAGGGGAACAGGGCTGGTTAACTGATCGATCTGTATTACTGATGCAAGTGAAGTGAAGTGAAGACTTTATTTAAAGATGATAACACTTGACAGTCATTAAAGAACTGATGAACTTGTAGCCCTTCTTTCTCAACGTCCTGGCAACTATGAATACACACGCATGCGCTTTTGCCTGTTCAAGATTAAACCGAAATTGTATGTCAAACTTGACTCAGTCTTACCAGAGAATTGATTCAAAATTCATTTTCATGGGGGACATCTCAACCCGATTTTTGCCCCATCGTTTCTCAGTAACTTTCATTTGATCTTTTAGATTTCACACATCTGTTTTGTCCGTCGGGGCTATAATTACCCAATAAACTACGAAAATCAGTAAAAAACCACCTTGGGTTATGTGGATCAGTCAGTCAGGAATTGAGTCAATTGGTTAAGGTAACCTAAATACAGGTATTTTCATCTTCGCTGAGTGCTGCTTGAAGCCCCCTACTTTTAAGTAATGACAACTATTTTGATACATAAGAATTCTTGTTATTGCTTTTACTTTAAAACAGCTTCAATGAGTGCAAATCATAGTTTCTGGATCTCTGATTTTTTTGACGAGACAGACGCTGACCATGAGAACGCATTTCACATTTTGTTTGGTCCGACATCTTACATCAAGCCTCTTGACTTTAATCCTGAAGAGCTGGAAATGTTTGAACAGCAGTGCGCAAAGAATAATAACGAGGAAACCCGACGCTTTTCGCGGAAACTTAAAATATCGCTTCCCAGACCTGTACCCTATAAACGTACAGAGTTTCACGCGCACAGAAATCATTTTCAGGATATTTTGGATTTTATTGATGAAATGACAGATGAAAAAAGACAGAACATTGGAAAACGAGAGAACCTTAGTGTCTCTGAAATAAAAAGCGGCACTAGCAAGGCGGGCAGGCCAGCTCAAACGAGTAAAGGATACATCGCAAGTAACCAGTCAGCGTACAAGACGAGTTCACTGATTGGACGTCATGGTGCTTATCACGAATTATCGTTTAGTCGCAAAGAACCACTAGAAATTCATGGCTTGAAGCAATGCAGAGGACATAGAACAGGCGAGGGGTGTTCCTGCTTGGGGAAGTCGAAATGCTACATTGTGCATAACAAACTGCAAGAAGCCGACTGCTTAGTATCTAAAGAAAGAGAAAGGTTCAGCTCTGGGGAACCCCTTTCTTCTCGTATGTAAAGGAGAGGTACCCATTTTCTAGACCAGTTAGCAGGGAGTTGCTGCCATTTTAAGGAAAGAATAAGCAGGGGAATACAGAAACGTGCTATACAGCAACGTCATCACGTAGGACTGTATATAGGAGAAAAGAATTGCTAAGAATTACATTTTCCTGCGTGTACGGCAGGATGCTTTAAAATTTCAAGAAGGAAAAGCTTCATGTATAATTACTTGTGAGATGGATCGATGTCATTTGTACTACGGTTTATAGTGTAGGTGAAGTAACACTTCCCACAAGGAGTCGCGTCATCATTACGCGGTACTCGCAGATTAGAAAAAAGGAAACTAATAAATTCATTGAATGAGTATTGGAGAGGCCGTAAAACCCCTGGCATCTTTTGTTTCGCGATAAGAAGACATAATAGCTTGGTTTGCATGAATTTGCAGTGTTTTAGTCCAAAACCCGAAGTAAATGCTTGTGTACAAAAATTTGAAATAAGTAAATAGATAGAAGCCGACCAAGAGAAAATGATTTATTCTCTCTTGAAGCCGACCCATATGTACAAAGTACAAAACTAATTCTCCACGTTCTAAAAACACACAACTTTTGTGGGACTGCTCAGATACTCTCCGGTTTTCCTGTGCACTTTATGTTAGTCCTTGGCCGCAACAGAAAGTTAAACGGGATGGGCAAAGTGGAAATCTTTTTTTCTGCGACCTAAAGCAACTCTTTTCGTGCATGGTTAATGTTTTTCTTTCGCTTTGCTCTCGGCTTTCGAGGCCCGACTTGCAAGTCAAGCAAGTTCTTGTTAAAAGGCTAATTAAGGCTCCTGACCTTCAGCAAGAGAGGATCTTGTCTTCAGGCTTTTTCTCTTTACGCAAGTTTTCTCCATGAAAACCATGCCCTTTTGACTGACCGTGAAGCGCCTGCATGCTAGCAGTCTAATCTCTAATTGTTTGCAATTTACTGATCATCCTGCTCTTTTGTATCTATCAGTTTATACCCAGTTTCATCAGGGTCTTTTTTAAACTTTATCACCCAATTCGCAATTAAAAACACAGCCAGACTAGCAAGGGAGTCCAAAGAGAAAATAAAATAAGTCTTCGGAACGCCGACCGCGTTTATAACGACACCGCTGACAACTACCCCTGAGCCAAAGCCGAGTCCCCAGTGAATTCCTCCAAGAATTCCTGCAGGAAAAAAAAAAGAAAGAGATGTCAGCGCCCCTTCCAATCAAACTAAAGCCCTGCGCAAACGGAAGCAGCATTGTTGGAAGTTGTTGCGCCGGTTAATTTGCACGTAGCTAAAAGTTTGACCGGTTTCAAACTTTTGCGCAACAGCCTCCAACAAAATCTAACAGGGTGTGCAAACGGACGCAACGTGTAATATCCAACAATATTCAGAGTCAGTGTCGCCAACAATGTTGCGTCGGTTTGCACGGGACTTAACGTAACCCTCTAATGTGACATTATTCTGCGAATGCGTCCAATACGAAAATATACTGGATAATTTGCTTGTGCAATTCAGCACCATAAATGAGGTTTCTGAGGTCCTTTCGCCTAAACGAAAATGTTAACCTTGTTTTACAATACGCTATAGTGGAATCAAGTTTACAAGCCACCTGATGAAAATCCCTTATTTTAATTCTTCTTTCCTAAGTATGCTTGCATACCAGCCGCGGTTTAGTACGCCTGCGTTCCTTCGCGGAGGGTCAGCAAACCAGATTCCCTCAAACGGCTGTACGTTGAGCCTATTATTAAGCTGGTGCAAACAGCTTGGTTCACATGAAGCGCTTTACTGAGTACTAACTTAAGCTTTGGAGCTTAGTGTAAACCCTCCTGGTATCAGTGTATCATTGATGAAAACATTGGAACGCACAATATATTTAATCTGTCAATGTCGTTCTTTGATGATTGGCCAAAGAACGTGTAAAAGAAAACCCGGCGACATTTTATTGAAAACCACTTTCAAGTAGATCACGTACCTTGAAGAACTGAATGGAATCCAACTTTTAAAGATACCGAAGCACCAAAAACAACACAGGCTGACCAGGCAAGCCCATATATGGTTCCGTGAGAGCTGTGGAGCACCACCCCTATCCAGGGATTGAGTACAAACGCTAGTCCCATATAAACAGCCACATAAAATGCTAAGCAGACAGCGAGAGTCGCTGCAAGACCAATCTTATTGATGATCATCCCAGAGGTAAAATATCCAAGAATTGGCAAAGAGTAACGAAAACTATCAGCCATCCCCAGCATATAGGGCTCTGCACCGAGGTCATCCAGATACCACAAACCAAAGTTACCTTGCAAACCCATAAGCATACCCAAATAGAAGGCTAAGGTAACGAAAATTACATTATGACAGAGTAGAAGCTCCTTTACAAGTGGCCAAATACTAGACCTAGACGATGTTTCGTCATCTGAATATTTTGCTTCTATGAAAACTATGGTAACTAAGGAAAGAGTGACGAATCCAACAAAGAAATAAAATGAAATGTGATCGTTCTTGACGGTCTCACCGCAAACCTCCGATTCGTATAAGCTGATGACTCCTCCAACCAAAAATGAGCCACTGGCGATACCAACTTCGCCCCACATTCGAAGATGCCCGAACTTGTTCGTATTTTCTTGTAGGAAGCCTACGACCAAAGCATCAGGCATGGTGTAAACAACGGAACCCAGAATCTGGCATGCGAATAGTATACTCAAAAAAGTCATAAAGATTTTACCAATTTCGGACTTGTCCACCTCACGAGTAAATATTGTTACGTGGCTGATGTTGTTCAGCCGTTGTGGAGATTGACTATCAATGGCCATGGATGCCGAGGACTCGCCACTTGATACTATTCCACCCCCAGGAGGAAAGCGTAGTGGATGTATCACAGTTCTGTTTGCTCCTGTTTCGATGCACTGCTGATTTTGTGGTTTAACTGCTAATAAGAGCAATGTTCCGGCGGAATATGAAAGCAATGATAAGAACAAAATAATTTTTCGTATTTTATACTTGTCTCCGATCGTTCCCCACATAGGCGCACCAATAAATAAGGAGAAGAGTCTTATTCCTTTGAGTAAACCGGCTTGTGCTGCACTGAGGCCGAGTTGTTTAAAGTATAAGGCTAGATATGGGACAGAGCTGCCAATGGCGCCATAAAATAAGAAGTAATAAGCCTTATACCTAATCTCCGACGTTTGCAGACAAGAAACTGACGTGTTATTTGAATTAGAATCGTCTGAATCTTTCTTGCCCGATGCATCAGATTTCTCCCTCATCGTCAAAATCATTCAAGCTCTCGTTTCAAACTCGAAATCCGCTGTTGCTTGTGTACGTTTCAACTGAATTTTGCTCAGAAATATAACTTGGAGACTTAATTCGGGTAGCCGTCGCTCTGGTGATATTAGGCCATTCCCATAAAATGTTTCGTTTCCCATCGCCCTCCCTCTCGTGAAAGTGGTTCGGTCGGTGGGGCAAAAAAAAAAAGAATGAACACAGGATTGCATATTAAATCTCACGTTAAGTCTGCAGTATATAATCAGATGGTAAAAGATGTATATTAACAGGACTATCAAATGTCTAAAAAGGCTACAAAAACGAAGTATGGATGATAATTTAAGACAATTGGTGTTAATAAGACAACATCGTCTGCTTGTAAACTAAAGTACTTGCTTCTTTACAAGTGATTCTGTTTTTTTTTTTTTATTTTTCCAAAAAAATGGGTCGGTCGGGCGATGGGAAACAAAACACTTTATGGGGATGGCCTTAGCATATTAGTATGAATGCGGAGTTTGTGATTTACATATTCAAATTTATTTCATATCATGCATATATTGGAGTGTTCCCCCGTGGAAAGGCAATGACAAGGATCGCATGAAACAATGCCACTAATTAATAGCTATAGACTGAGAACCTATATAGTTGAAAACAAATCGAGAAAAACCCATATCTAACAAAATCCTTCCTTTAAAAAGCTGAGCTGGTTTTGTCCTCTCCGAAAAGAAGCATTATGCAGGTCTGTGAGGCTACATTTATAATGATGATCGAGAGGCAAAGAGATGCAGTAAAACTAAAAAAAACTGTTTTGAATACAGTCCGGCCAAGAGCCATTATAGGACTCAAAAGATCGCGTTTTGGCATATCAGGGTAGGTTAACTCTTTTCAAAGCCGTCGCAAGCCTTTTCAAACACCAAATACAGGTATTTTCATCTTCTTTAAGTGCTACTTGAAAGCCCTCTACTTTTAAGTAACGACCACTATTTTGATACATAAGAACTTTTGTTATTGCTTTTACTTTAAAACAGCTTCAATGAGTACAAATCATAGTTTCTGATCTCTGATTTTTTTGACGAGTCTTTAATCCTGAAGAGCTGGAAATGTTTGAACAGCAGTGTGCAAAGAATAACAAAGAAGAAACCCGACGCTTTTCGAAACTTAAAAGATCGCTTCCCAGACCTGCACCCTATTGACGTACAGAGTTCGACGCGCACAGAAATCATTTTCAGGATATTTTGGATTTTATTGATGAAATGACAGATGAAAAGTTTAGTCGCAAAGAACCACTAGAAATTCATGGCTTGAAGCACTGCAGAGGACATAGAATGGGCGAGGAGTGTTCCTGCTTGGGAAAGTCGAAATGCAACATTGTGCATAAAAAACTACAAGAAGCCGACTGCTTAGTATCTAAAGGGAGAGAAAGGTTCAGTTCTGGGGAAACACTTTCTTCTCGTATGTAAAGGAGAGGTACCCATTTTCTAGATCGATTAGCAGGGAGTTGCTGTCATTTTAAGGAAAGAATAAACAGGGGAATACAGAAACATGCTATATACAGGAAAATCACTACGCAGTACGGTATATAAGAGAAAAGAATTGCTAAGAATTAAATTTTCCCTCGAGTACGGGAGCATCTCTTTAAAATTTCAAGAAGGAAAAGCCTTATGCACAATGACTTGGCAGATGGACGGGGCTCGAAAAAAGTTTGAATTCCAGCTTGTCCTTTGCGCAAGCAGCTCTCACTTGTTGCTTACTTCTTGCTCGTCTCATGATTAGTCAATGATTTCATTAGAAGATGAATTGTTTCTTGCCCATTGGTTAAGTAAGCTTCAAAAGTTACTTTCCCAGCAAGAAAATCCACTTGTCCTGCACTACCGGCCGGATGAGACTTTGTTACAGCCCTGGATGGATCGATGTCATTTGTACTACGGTTTATAGTGTTGGTGATAGCTTTAATTTTTAAAGGTGTTGGAAAAGGGAAACATCTTAATCTACAAGTAACACTTCCAGTAGAACTGAAAAGTATAAGCGCTATATAAATATTTTATTATTGTTATTATTATTTTTTTTATTATTATTATTATTATTTTTTTATTATATTATTATATTCCCACAAGGAGTCGCGTCATCATTACGCGTTACTCCCAGGTTAGAAGGTAGGAAATTAATCAATTTATTGAATGAGTATGGGAGAGGCAGTAAAACCCCTGGCAACTTTTGTTTTGCGATAAGAAGACATAATGGCTTGGTTTGCATGAATTTGCAGTATTTTATTCCAAAACCCAAAGTAAATGCTTGTGTACAAAAATTTGAAATAATTAAATAAAGAAATATTAAATAAAGAAATTAACGCTGACCCATATGTACAAAGTACAAAACAGAAGCAGATATATGCTTCTGGTACAAAACTAATCATCCACTCTCTAAAAACATATTTTTTTTGGGACTGCTCAGAGATTCTCCGATTTTCCTGTGCACTTTATGATAGTCCTTCGCTGTAATAGAAAGTTAAGAGGGCTGGGCAGGGTTGAATTCTTTTTTTTTTTGCGACCTGACGCACCTCTTTTCGTGCATGGTTAAGATTTTTTCTTTCGCTTTGCGCTCGCTTTCGAAGCGCGACTTGCAAGTCAAGCAAGTTCTTGTTAAAACGCTAATTAAGGCTCCTGACCATCTTCTCTTTACGTGAGTTTTCTCCATGAAAACCATGCCCTTTTGACTGACTGAGAAGCGCCAGCCTGCATGCTAGCAGTCTAATCTCTAATTGTTTGAAATTACTGATCATCCTTCTCTTTTGTTTCTATCAGTTTGTACCCAGTTTCATCAGGGTCTTTTTTAAACTTTGTCACCCAATTCGCAAATAAAAATACAGCCAGACTAGCAAGGGAGACCAGAGAGAAAATAAAATAAGTCTTCGGAACGCCGACCACGTTTATAACGACACCGCTGACAACTACTCCTGAGCCAACGCCGAGTCCCCAGTGAATTCCTCCAAGAATTCCTGCGGGAAAAGAAAAGAAACAGATGTCAGCGCCCATTCAATCAAAAACCCCGATCAAACGGACGCAACATTGTTGGGCGTTTTTGCGTCCGTTAATTTGCACGTAGCTGAAAGTTTGACCGGTCTCAAACTTTTGCGCAACAACTCCCAACAACAAGCAACAAAATGCAACAGAGTGTGCAAACGGACGCAGCGTGTAACATCCAACAATGTTGCGTCCGTTTGGACGGAACTTAACGTAACTCTTTAACGTGACATTATTCTGCGAATGCGTCCAATACATAAAATATACTGGATTACTTGCTAGACAAGTGCAATCCAGCACTATGAAATGAGGCTTCTGAGATCCTTTCGCGTAAACGAACATGTTAACCTTGTTTTACAGTATAGTGGAATCAAGTTTACAAGCCACCTGATGAAAATCCCTTATTTTAATTCTTCTTTCCTGAGTATGCTTGCATACCAGCCCCGGATTAGTGCGGCTGCGTTCCTTCGCGGAGGGTCAGCAAACCAGATTCCCTCAAACGGCTGTACGTTGAGCCTACTATTAAGTTGGTGCAAACAGCTGGGTCCACAAGAAGCGCTTTACTGAGTACTAACTTAAGCTTTAAAGCTTAGTGTAAACCCTCCTGGTATCAGTGTATCATTGATGAAAACATTGGAACGGACAATCTTTTAAATCTGTCAATCTCGTTCTTTGGTAATTGGCCAAAGAGCGTGTAAAAGAAAACCCGACATTTTATTGAAAACCACTTTCAAGTAGATAACGTACCTTGAAGAACTGAATAGAATCCAACTTTTAAAGATACTTTAGCACCAAAAACAACACAGGCTGACCAGGCAAGCCCATATATGGTTCCGTGAGAGCTGTAGAGCACCACCCCTATCCAGGGATTGAGCACAAACGCTAGTCCCATATAAACAGCCACATAAAATGCTAAGCAGACAGCGAGAGTCGCTGCAAGACCAATCTTATTGATGATCATCCCAGAGGTAAAATACCCAAGAATTGCCAAAGTGTAACGAAAACCACTTGCCATCCCCAGCATATAGGGCTGTGCACCGAGGTCATCCAGATACCACAAACCAAAGTTATCTTGCAAACCCATAAACATACCCAAATAGAAGGCTAAGGTAACGAAAATTATATTATGACAGAGTAGAAGCTCCTTTACAAGTGACCAAATACTAGACCTAGACGATGTTTCGTCATCTGAATATTTTGCTTCGATAAAAACCATGGTGACTAAGGAAAGAGCGACGAATCCAGCAAAGAAATAAAATGAAATGTGATAGTTCTTTGCGGTCTCACCGCAAACCTCCGATTCGTATAAGCTAATGACTCCTCCTACCAAAAATGAACCACTGGCGACACCAACTTCGCCCCACATTCGCAGAGATCCAAACTTGTCCGCATTTTCCTGCAGGAAGCCTACGACCAAAGCATCAGGCATGGTGTAAACAACGGAACCCAGAATCTGGCATGCGAATAGTATACTCAAAAAAGTCATAAAGATTTTACCAATTTCGGACTTGTCCACCTCGCGAGTAAATATTGTTACGTGGCTGATGTTGTTCAGCCGTTGTGGAGGTTGACTATCAATGGCCATGGATGCCGAGGACCCGCCACTTGATACTATTCCACCCCCAGGAGGAAAGCGTAGTGGATGTATCACAGTTCTGTTTGCTCCTGTTTCGATGCACTCCTGATTTTGTGGTTTAACGGCTAATAAGAGCAATGTCCCGGCGGAATATGAAAGCAATGATAAGAACAAAATAGTTTTTCGTATTTTATACTTGTCTCCGATCATTCCCCACACAGGCGCACCAATAAATTCAGAGAAGAGTCTTATTCCAGTGAGTAAACCGGCTTGTGCTGCACTGAGGCCCAGTTGTTTAAAATATAAGGCTAGATATGGGACAGAGCTGCCAATGGCGCCATAAAATAAGAAGTAATAAGCCTTGTACCAAATCTCCGACGTTTGCAGAGAAGAAACTGACGTGTTATTTGAAGGATCGTCTGAATCTTTCTTGCCCGATGCATTAGCCTGTTTCTCACTCATCGTCAAAATATTCAAGCTTTCGTTTCAAACTCGAAATCCGCTGTTGCTTGTGTACGTTTCAACTGAATTTTGCCCAGAAATCAGTATAATAGCTTGGAGACTTAATTAGGGTAGCCGTCGCTCTGGTGATATTAGCATATTAGTATGAATGTGGAGTTTGTGATTTACATATTCAAATTTATTTCGTATCCATATAATGAACCGTGGAGTGTTCCCCGGTGGAAAAGCAATGACAATGATCGCATGAAACAATGGCACTAATTAACAGCTATGGACTGAGAACCGATCGAGCTGAAAACAAATCAAGAACAGCATATCTGAGAAAATCCTTCCTTTAAAAAGCTGAGTAGGTAAGACCATGTCACCAAGAGACCCGGTTTTGTCCTCTCCGAAAAGAAACATTATGCAGGTCAGAGACTACATTTATAATGATGATCGAGAGGCAAAGGGATGTAGTAAAACTAAAAAATAAACTGTTTTGAGTACAGTCTGGCAAGAGATGAGTCGAGTCAAAAGATCGCGTTTTGCTTGGGTGGCCTCGTGAGGACTGGGAGTACGTTGGCTTAGGGGAGGGGTAGGTGGGCAGTTTCCCTTAAACTTGTAATAATCCCAACATATTTATCCATTTCCCACCCCCTCCCTCTTCTTTAGGTTCTTCGTTTTGCCTGCGAAATACTTGAAATTCGCCCTACCCTACCCCTTTCGCCCTCCTATTCACTAAATTTAACGAAATAAGAACTTGGAAGATAAGGCATATTCAGTGCATCTTAACAGTAATACACCTTATACCATTGTATACTCCACAGGGAGCCATTGATTCAGTTACGATAAAGGAGAAAATAAACTCATGCAACATCAACATCAAAACAACAAAATGACAATCATTATATGCAATTAACGTAAGTTGTATATAAGGATAAAGTGATATTTTTCAGTTATCTGAGTAGCCTAAGTTGTAGGTGTTAAATTGTTGGTTAGCTAGTGTTTTGTTGCAGGTATTTGGCAACCTAGATGCCTATAATAATTTGAGATTCCGTGAAAGTCTATAACAAAAAAAATTAGGATAAAAATCGTCTCCCCGCGTTTTATGCTCAGACACGGGGGAAAACATCTGCTTTTCTCGAAAACCTGTCCAGATAAATAAGTCACCGTTAATGAATTCAAACGTTTATGAATGTCATTCGTTAATTAGGTTGACCAATCACTGATCCAGTCTGTTAATGAAATCGAATTATTTTCCCTCACAAACGCCGGATAAAAAGACTTCTTAAACTAGACGTTCAATTTTGAAATTAGAGTTCAACTGTCCGTCCCTTAAAATGAAAAAGGAAGATGGAGAGAAAGACGTTTCAAAGTTGTGTTCAAGTAACGGCCAGTCCAAACCTTGCCTAACAGAAATCACGTATAAGGTTTACTACTTTCTATTTTATGGCTCCATTGGCAGTTCTATTCCGTTTCTGGCTGTGTATTTCAAGCAACTTGGACTTAGTGCCGGTCACGCAGGTGTATTGATCGGATTAAGACTCCTAATGGAATTCATCGGTGCGCCATTGTGGGGATGGATCGGAGATAAGTATAATGTGCGAAAAATTATTTTATTCTTTTCGGTGGCGTCATTCTCTGCAGGGACACTGCTGGTTCTGATTGTTCAACCAGAGAATCAACAGTGCATCGAAACAAGAGGAAACAAAACGTTAATATATCCATTGACATTTCTTCCTGAAGGTGGAGTTATGATATTAGGTCAACCCATAGAAAAGGCATCTCAACTTCCACGATTTTACAACAAGAGTCACGTGACAACGTCTACCTGGAAAGTCGACGAAACCGAACTTAAGAAAATCTTCTTTATTTGTTTCGGTTTAATTTTCGTCTGTCAGATTTTGGGCTCTGTGGTTTATATCATGCCTAATGTTTTGCTTATTGGACTCTTGGAGGGGAGATCAGACAAATTTGGAACTTTCCAAATGTGGGGCGAATGCAGCGTCGCCGCTAGTTCATTTCTTGTTGGAGGAGTCATCAGCTTGTACGAATCAGAAGTTTGCGGCAAGATCGTGTCGAACTATCACATTTCCTTCTATTTCTTTGCTGGTTTTAGTGCACTTTCCCTGGTTACCATATTTTTCATGCATGCGAAATATTCTGATGATGAATTATCACAGAGCGCTAGTATTTGGACCCTCGTTAAGGAACTTCTTCTCTATCGTAATATAATATTCATTGCGTTAGCATTTTATTTAGGAGTCCTTGTCGGGTTGCATGAGCACTTCGGACTGTGGTATCTGGATGACCTTGGAGCTCAGCCCTATATGTTAGGAATTGCCGCTGGTTTCCGTTACGCCGTCGCATCTTTGGGGTATCTATTTTCAGGGACTATCATCACCAAGATTGGACCAGCACCGACTTCAGCTGTCTGCCTGGCATTGTACGTAGCGATTTACATGGGATTTGCTTTTGTCCTAAACCCCTGGATCGGTGTGGTATTATTTGTTTCTCAGGGAATCATGTACTCACTGGGCTGGGCGACCTGTGTTGTGTTTGGCGCCGCAGTATCTTCAAAAGCTGGATTCCATGGAGCGATTCAAGGTAATGCTATCTTATTATTCAAAGGGAGTCTCAATTCTGAGATGCTTTAGTTTTAAATCCAGACAACCTTCTCTTGAAAACTGACATTAGAAATAAGTGTAAGGAATGAGGTATGTTTAAAAATGCCTAAACATATTAACATCCAAGAGACCCTTTAATTAATTCAATTATAAATGTTTTGGCTTTCTATATAGAGAGCAATCGAATTTTTTTCAATTAAATCTCTTTAGATAAGAGAATCTTGTAAACGCCTGTTCATCGCTCAACAGTGACATGGGTATTATAGAACGTTGTTTCAATAAGAGCTTTACAATGAGAGTATTGCTACCACTGTGATGTTGCCAAGATAGCAGTGGTTAAAACATTTATGAAAGGAATATAAATCTGCAATGGATAGTTAGTACAGTTATGCCCAGGGGTTGAAATCTTAGAGAAGTAATGAGGCTTTTTAAGAAATGTGCAAAAAAAATCAAAAGGTTATTTTCGCATAAGGATGCACAAGAATAAGAAGGTCTTCAAGAAGGTCTTCCTTTGGTTCATAGTTTTTTAAATCTTTTTAATTAAAATTAATACTACTCTATGTGAATTTACGGCCTACTAAAGGCCATTTCACCTTTAGTTGTTATTGCGCAAGTTTATGTTGTGTTTTTCTTAGTTTTTGGGTATGGTAATGTATGCAAATGTACTTGAAACAAAGGAAAAGTAAAAATTACCTGAGATAAAGTATTAACTACAACATATATTTGTTTTATACATCACATTTGTTTTGTCTCCCATAGGGGTCCTTGGAGGATTTCACTGGGGTCTTGGTGTGGGATCAGGAATAATGGTCAGCGGTCTCGTTATTAACCAGGTCGGCGTTCCGAGGACGTATTTTATTTTTTCTTTGATATCAGTTGCCATACTAGCTCTGTTTTTATTTGCGTACTGGGTGGCAAGTTTTAAAAAAGATACTGGTGATACTGGATACAAACTAATAGAAACAGAAGAAAAGGAAAATCCTTAAAAAAAGTGTTGTTTTCACCAGAAACAATTAAGTTCTTCTCATCGTGGAAAAAGAATACACAGGCGTCAAAAATAATAGTGCGGTTAGGTTTATTGCTTTCGTATTTTAAAATAGAATTACATATGTAATAATTTAAAAAGACTGCATTTATATTTAACTTGGGCTTTAAGAAATATAGTCTAGGAAATTGTGCAGGCGAGTCCGGCAGTATTGGAATAGAAGTCTCCTAAGCGCACACCCTCGGGAGGCGAAAAAGGTGTCCGCGATCGGAGCTGGCCGCTTTTGGTTTTCATAAATGGCCACTAGAACTCAAGTGGTGTTTTGAACTGTAACCGGACTTGTACGTTGAAAAAAAAAAAGGAAACTGACATAAATTCATTGTGACGAACAGCAATATGAAGAATTCAGAGGTATGAAAGATTCAGAGGAGAATGAGATTCCATTTCAGGTGTCCGCTTACGTGAGCTTAAAAACCAAGCTAAAATCTTACTAGTAAACTCTGAAAGTGTCCGCCGCGGCCGTCTAAGGAAATTGTCCGCTTAGGGGAATGTAAAAATACATGGTTTCTGTGGAAGTTAAAACGGGGTTTTGAGGAGGCGGCCGTACGCAGAGCTGTCCGCTTACGAGAGTGTCTGTTACGAGAGCTTCCACTGTATCCGCGATTGATGTAGCCTTCCACGCAGACGTTCTTAGGGGTTCGTCACGGGTGGCAGGAACGCGTGAGGAACCCCTAAGAACGTCTGCGTGGGAGGCTACGATTGATGTGCTGGTTACACGGATTCAACATCACGTGTATTCTAAAGTCTTTTATTTCTAAATTAGATTTGTTATTCGCCTGGCGGCATCCTCTCTGGCCATGACATGACGAAGATGTAGCTCTTCATGCAGTTTCCTTATCTCCTCCAAGTCCCTGCTCTGTGACACTTCTCTCATTCGTCGGCTTAACTCTGTAAATTCTGGGTCATCCATCTCTTCTTCTTCATCTTCATGGCCGTTTCCTTCTCCTCCTTCTCCTCCTTCTTCTTCTGATTCATTCTCTAAATGCGGTTTATCTCTATTTCGTGACTGTCCTTCCATGTCCTCCGTTTCTCTTTTTTCACCGTGTTCTCTATCATGTTCCCCAATCAGCTCACCACCTGTTAAAACAACAAAAAGAGAAACAAGATTATTCTGACTGAACTAACTGTAGCCTGGCATTCACACGAAAGCTAAAATCTCCTCTCCAATCCCCCAAGATATGCAAGTTTCATCTTAAAGACAACATTAACTGGAAGGAACGTGCACGTGATAAATCGCGAGCGAAACGCGCGAGCGCGGGGAGGTAGGAGTAAATCTCGCGCGTCGCACCTTCGCCTTCTGTTCTAAAGTTTACTCTAGCTCACGCAGTTACGTAATAGGCGTATAATGTTCAACTTCCCTTTTTCGTCCTTATCTCCTCCCCTTTTACGTCCGCTAGCCAGCCTATGTTTGCTTGTGCTTTCGTGCCAGAGTGCATATGAAACAGAGAAAAGGAAACGTGTTCACTAATACCTTTCCATGATTTCTTTTTTTAAAAAAAAAAATCGACCAGGAGGCAATACATCCAATTGCTCTTTTGTTCGGACATAGTATAATTTAGGGTTCATACGCCATTGCCGCTTGCAGCCAATGAAACTCTGGAGTTTTCTTACACAGGAATTCAGTTTCCCTCTTCTCGTCTGAGTGATACGTTAAAAAAATAGTACGTTATCAAGAGAGTTGACTTTCAATTATTCTGATGATAATAGTATTACCTTTTCCTTCCTCCATGGAATTTAATCTCATTCTGGTGTCCAAAACACCCACGAAATGCCTCATTTCTTCTGTGAAAGCTTTTTGCCTTCCTACAAACTCGTCTACAGACACTTTTGCCACAAATGTGAGGCGTGCGTGTGATTGATTTGTGCTTGGTGGACGGGCGGAGTGGGGAATAATTCCTGAGGTAAAACAAGACACCAAAACTTCTTTAACTTCTTAGTCTGAGAAAACAGCCGACATTTGGCGACGCCACCAGTGGTATCCCCGCGAAATGATGTCTGAGAAACGAGCGCAGAAATTCCATACGCGTCAGTAACCAGATCCGGGTAGTGCTTCTGATTGGCTGAATTGTTTCATCCAATCAGAAGCACCACCCAGATCTGAATAGAACGCGTCATCACCATGGAATTTCTGCGCTCGTTTCTCAGAGTGACGTCATTTCGCGGGGTTACCAGTGGTGACGTTGCGAAATGTCGGCTGTTTTCTCAAGCTACGAATTACTTAAAAAGAAGGAAAAATGATTATTCACGTTTTTCACTTCAACATCGAAACCAAGAATGTAGTGGGGAGTTTAAGCAACCACAGCAGCACCTTCGGCGAAATATCACTTAAGAGTTTAAGTCAATTCACGTTATTCAGTCAGATTTCATCGTTCTTAAAGGATCCATTTTGTCCCACTAGTCAAAAACTTTGGAGAATTTTTCTGAAGTCGAATTCTAAACAACTGCATCTGAGTTCGAAGAAAAACTGAGAAAATCGTTGACTTGTGTTCACGTCTTCCAGTAAAACTAGGAAGTTTCACGTCGTACTAAAGCAAGACCGCAAAGAAGCGTGATGCTCAAGCAAAGTTAGTGTTTTGCTAATCTAGAACTTTAGATTTATGGCCGTTCTCGCGTTACCGTTGCAGTCGTCGTTGCTTTAATAAGTTCTCTACTTGCCAAGCTAGACCAAAAGCGACCATGCGCTATTGAATAAGTATACTTTCACGGGACGTGGCTAAGATGGACGGACGTGTGTTTTTGAGTGTTCCGCGTAACACTTTCCACCTTTCGTAAATTTCTGATGTTTAATTGTTCCTTTTTCTTTCATCTAATTGTTTCGTTCTCTTGTTTTTTGTGTTACATTATGCCTTAGTACTTGCCTTGTTTTATGTTAGTTTATTCTATTTACTGTACCGTAGTGTCTTCACTGTTATTTCGTCCATCTATAGATAAACCTTGTACTTGCAATATGTCTTCAGCTGCCCCCGCCTCGATTAGTTTATAAGGTATTTGCGGGTGGCAAAGTAATGTAATTAAATATATTTCCAATTTTCAACAAAATTTGTTGTTGTTTTGTTGTTGTTGATACAACCCATAAACTAAACATTATAACAAACAAAGATTCTCTTTGTCCCTTTTCGTGGCCTGCCATGTAGGCTAGGTTCCGCTACAAAGTACAACATACCTTGAAATACAACAGCCCGGCCATACTTAGGCCGAACCTCTGTGATGATTTCATTGTCGTGGCTCATTGTCTCATAAAAGGCTGTTTCGCCATAGTCATTTTTAGTCCAGTTTGGAGTTAGATAAATAAGGTATGTCCATTCATCTTCATGATATTCACAATCCTGATGAATGCGGGTGTGATCGGCACTGCGGATCAGGTTACATGAGATGTCATATGGAAACCACTTATCGCTACCAGTCACATGTTTAAGAGTCTGTAAGATTTAATGCACAAAAACTCAAGCGTTAATAGAACAAGAAAAAAAGCCTGTTAGGCTCAAAGAGACATTGGCAGAAGAAACACTTACAGTAACTCTAGATCTGCTAATAAAATTTTTCATGACCAAAAATGAAAATCAAAGAAATGGTTTCATCCAAGACCCAACCACAAGAAATAGGAAAGGACTGCTTCAAATCAGCTTACTGTTACAATTGCCACTCACATTGTGTGAAAAATTCTTATTTGCACTCTAAGCCTGCATGCAATTGTCTCCTATTTCCATTGTTATTTGCAGAAAACGAAAGGAAATAGGGGAGGTCTGCAAGCAGGCTAATTTAATTACACTTAAAACTCAATTAGCTAGATTATTAGATTATCATGCTCATTTGGATACAGTGAAAATAACATGTGAGCTGGAGCCCCAGAAATCATCACTTGTGCATCTGTGCACAAATGAGAGTAAGAGTAATATTCTTTTACTTGCAAGAGCTTAGATTCAACTTTAAAATGTCTTTTCACTGCTTTTCATGAATATCACGGACAGGTGTTAACTTGCAGGTGATTCATATTAGTAGTCAGAATGTTCAGTCAGTGGAACTTGGATTCCAGATTCAAATTGTTAGTGGGATTCTGGATTCCTTGAGCTTTATTCCAGATTCCAAAGTCCAGAATTCCAGATTCCACAAGCAAAAATTGCCCACATTCTGGGATCTGGATTCCCTTACATGGGGTGACTTGTAGTTTAACCCTTTAAACCCTATGATCAAAATCAGAATTCTTATTAGTTTTGTTGCCCCTATTCATTTCCTACAGAAGTAGTGGGGAGAAGTTGATAAAATATCAAAGCAAATTCATCTTGTGTGATCATGTCCGTAATTCTCATGACCACTCTGTGTTACAAAGCATTGATATTACAAGGAGAACTTTGATGCTGATCACTCTTAATAGGGCTTAAAGGGTTAAAAACTCACATGTTCTGTGCACAAACCTGTTGCATAATGTTCCAAAGTCTGCTCTGAATGTAGTCATTGATCTCAAACCCTGCAATCCACTGCACGTTATCACCTCCATCATCACCATCATCAGAATCATCATAATAATAAGTACCATGTTTAAAGATGAATGCTCGTAACCTATCCAGATCTTCCTTGTCAAAGAGATCATCAAACACAAAAATTTTCTTTCCTTCTGTTGAGGCGTGTTCAGACACCCGATGCTGTGCTATGTTGATACCAGTTGGAGCAGGTTTGTCGCTTCCAATAAATCCTGCATCATACGCCACCTGGCGTTCACCTTTTGCTGCCATTCTTTCCCTGTGGTTAGCAAGCATTTTTTGCTTGGACTTGGTGAACTGAACATGAAGTATTAGTTGTCCTTTTTTAAAAGCCATACTGGGAGGTCGTGCGAGATAAGACACTGAACTTGGCCATACAACAACACGGCCAAATTTTGGTACTGTTCCAGCCATTATTTCATTGTCTTCATCGTATCTAAGGAAAACAAAAAAAATCAGAGTTTCCTTTTAACAATTTAAATACTTTTGTTTACTGTGAAACTTGCAAAACCATGAACACCAGAAATATCTATGGAATGTTTTACTGTCTTGTGAGGAGAAAGCCAATAATTAAGGTGTGGGAAAACTAAACCAAAAACAGCAATGGCAATTAATTTGTGGTTTTACTGAACTTCATTGAGATTGATCACTACACAATATTCAAGGTTTTCTGAGTTTGATAGTAACTTACTGCAGAGTCATTCTTTGAGATACAAGTGGAAGTCCTACATTTCGATGTCATTTCTATGATCAGTGAGAGTATCAGACGTTTTGCCTTGTCAGTTTGTTACAGAAAATACTTGGGATTACTGCTTGATTCACAAAACATTAATTAATATACTTATCATTGTACTTACAGGTAAAGTTCTCCATAATCATTCTTCCTCCATGTAGGATTCAAAAACATAAAAGCAGAGTATTCATCATCTGTTTTGTTGGCATCAGTGAATAGTTTAGTAAAGTCACCACGTCGAATAAGTTTTCCTTTGACTTTGTATGGATAGTAAATATCCTCAGTTTGCGTAGTGTCCATCACTGCTTTTTGCATTGTTTTCCCAACCACGGATTTTGAAAATTCAATGCAATCTACGTCGTTTATCCATGGGATATTGTCTGTTGGCTTTTCAATTCCCCCGTCATATGGTTCATAAAGACTGAACTGCCAGGCCCCTAAATCGATATTTAAATACCTTGAGAAAATGTGAAGATTTATTGGATGTAAAATATTGTCGAAGACGTAAATTTTGCCTCCATCAGTTGTTTGATATCTGAAAGTGATTTTTGATGAGAGGTCGACATCCAGGATTGTATCCTAAAGAAACAAATGAAAAATCACACTTTTATTACTTAAATTTTATTATATTTTTGTTACTTAGTGAAGCTACAAAATGCAAGGCCTGAAAAATATAAAGTTTGTAATAATAGGTAGCTTAATAATAAGCAACGATGATGACAGCAGTAAAAATGCTGCTAAAAAAATGAATTTGATGTTATCATTGTCGTCATCATTGTGGTTGCTTATGCTCACCAATAGGTTACTACAATACTGCAATTTGGAGGCTTCTCTGATCTTAAATCCTTACTTAAAGTCCACTTGTTCACAGACAATTCTGTCTTGTGCTTGACAACCAACTCGCAAGATAGCTGTCCCCAATTGCAGACCAATTTGAATAACCTTGAGGTTTGATTTTTGGACACATTGTTTTAGAATTGAGCTACCATTTAATCAACTGTTGACTGTTACTGATGTTTTTTTTATCACCCCAGCAAAAAAATCCTCTTTTTGAGGGTTCGCTGTATATTTTAGTAAATATATAAACAAAATAATCCTAAAGGTCTCTTACGTATGTCTATAACATTATTATTCTTGCACTTTTAAGATGAATTAATAGATTCAAAACAACCTTGATCAAGAATAAATTCGGGTTTGGCTCTTTTCTTGTCACGAAAATAAAAATTTTGTTAGTTTGCGTCTTTGTGTTAGCATAAGCAAACTAATTTAGATTCAAAATGCACTAATTTTTTACAAGCATGCAAGTTTTGGCCTCTGTGAAATAAAAGTCTGTAAATCAAGTCAGAGAAAGTTTTGGGCAACAAAGCAAACATCACAGGAATTATTCTTCTCTCCTAAATGTTGTTTATTTTGATTGGAAATAGTAACTGAATGTATTTTTATGTGTATTTACCTCAAGAGAGAAAATATTATTGTTCACAATCATTATGTCACTTAGTCATACCACCTGGATTTAAAATAAAAATTGTCCAAATGAAGCCCATTTAAATATGCTATCTTGTTTAATGATCAGGTGCTTTTCGTAATTTATAATAATCCACCTGACTGAAAGTTTAAGTGCATTTGAATTTTAAATCACTTTTGGTGCCAATAACAGGTAAGCAGGTAAGCAGTAATTTTGGCATATTAATTGCCTGGGATAAACTAATACCTACAAAAAGAAAAATGAGAAAACGGCTTCTTACGTTAGCTATTTCTAGCTGAACCGATGTTACTTCACACAATAAGAGACTTGTGAGATGTGACAACTAAATTCTTTTGTAATTTTGTTCCTGTTTACATTAAGTTTTTAATACTAAAGTAAGCTTGTGAGGAAATGACTTTTTTGAAAATCATATTTAGTGTTCATTTATACTGTATGTTTCATTCCCGATAGATGTGGACTGAAACAGTCAAAACATTAATCAAACTAAGCCTTAATGAGAAAAAAATATATACAGAGAGAGGCTATTTCATGCGATCAAACGCCCCCAGCATGGATGTTGACTTTCATGAACTTTTACCTGTTCGCCGCTTTATATATCAATTAATAAATAAAATCACCTGTATAAACTCTACAGAATTAAAGCATTCACCTCAATATTTGATTCAGCCACACCAAACTCGGTGCTGTCCCTTACGTCCCATGCAAAAGAGTCTTCATTATCAGCGCTACATTGCGAGAATTCGCTGAAAAAATAGAGTGTCACGAACGTAAAGATCAGCCTGTGTCGCGCCATGTTGGTTTGCGAACGCGGACAATTATAAGCGCGAGTGCTAAAATGTTTGGGGAATATGGTTGTTGATCAGCAAGAAGACCCGCGACAGAATTATCAAAATTGATCGATCTTTATAAATATGCAAATTTCAAAACACCAGATATGTTTCCTAAGAAACCTTAAGGGTTATCTGCTATCAGCCTCTTTCACAGGATTGTAAAACGTATAATAACCTTTCTACAGTAGTCAGAATAGTTTTCATACTTGTTGGTGTTTTAGTGGGTTTATTTTCCTGATGAATTGAAAATGCATTTTGGAGTGGAAGGAAGATTGTAACAGCTCAATTTCATTCGAAAAAATAATAAACAAACGTTTTTTAACTCTCATGACATTTATCTCACTTCATATATTAAAATTTCAGACAAAGGAAAATTTTACCGGAAGTGTTCAGTGTCCGATACACAAATAGATTCTCTTTACCTCGTCACGAATTACTTCCGCTAATGCGCACAGAATGTTCAGTCACAGTGGAAAGGTTTATGGAAATGTCTTTCCACTACGCGAGGGAACAGATGGTCCCAGAAAATCAGCTGATTATTCATAGCTTATTGTTTCTACACCGGGTTTTAAAGCAGTTCCGTAAATTTTAGATAGCATCCTTTTAAAATTCTTCGCAAAATCCGTCTCTCCATTCGCCGCCTCGCCATGCGGTTAACTGTCCATTTCAGGTTGAGATTTCTTCTCGCTAGTTGTATATTTTTGTTTTTTTACTTTGTTTTGTTTTGTCACTTGACCGCGGCTTCCTCTCCTGGTTTTTGCGACAAAGATGGATGTGCTGGCGTCGTAGAAAAAGGTATGTTTAAGCTACGTAATCAATTTCATGGCTCTCAACCATTGTCGATTGTAAAACATGAGATGAGGCCAGCAGAGACGCTGATCCCCAGAACTGCAGAGTTACTTGCGTACTCCCTATAAAGCTTTATGAAGTTCTGACTTTCGATTGTAGACAAAATAAGTAATACGACACTCAATTGAAACCTTTTGAAAGGAGTCACAATTGGCAACTGTTAGACTTGTTTTTTCTCAACAGCTTTTTAAGTTAGCGACCTTTGGTTGATATTGACGTTTGGCGGTCTTAATAGGATGAATCAGAATGGGGCTGATAAGAAGCTGGGGTATTGAGTTATTCTGCTCCCATTGTCGATTCTCAAGAAAGTACACGTCAGCGATGGTCTCTTGAGCTGATTAATTCTTCATATTATTCAAGGCTTAGATAAGAATATAAAAAAAGAGAATCAAAATCACCCTCACTATAAAAATCGCTATTAGCTTTCATTAACTAATTCCCAGACAAATATATTGTTATTTTAGGGGCCTTAAGATTCACCGAGTCTGCCTACAGCTACGGTTAGGAAAACGTGTTTGCCAAGTAGCTATATAAAAGGCGACCACGATTTCCTAGATATCATAATAATTATGATATCTAGGAAATCGTGGTCGCCTTTGGCAAACATTTTTTATCAAAGGTATTGCATTATCCAATGATTCAGTTTTTGATAAAGGGAATTATCACATGTTCAATGGCTATGCAGATATGTTCCTCAGAGGATTTTGACTTAGAACAAGGTATCAGGTGAAACTGATCAGTGGCATGATAGTCATACATGTAGTCTGTCATGTTGTAAGGATCTTTAGTACTTCACACCTAGCTCTCAAACCAAGGAGGGCTTGTCATGAGTCTGTGTACATGTACAATGGGATAAACAATGTGAGACTCACCCAGCCAGAAAGTAGAGTACATTGAGTTTTGCAAATTCTCAAGTTTGATGGTAATTGGACCAATATTGAACAAGATACAGCTATTTAAAAACTTGAAAATTTACTAAGAAATGTATGGATTGGTGGACTCACTGCCTGCATGTCTAGAAATTTCTGAGTTAATTTTGAAGTTTTTGAAAGACAGTATCTCCTTCAATATAGGCCAGATCACGCCAAACTTGAGGATTTTGCAAATCTTAGTGTCCTCTTTCTGACTTTGTGGATCGTTTGTTGTTTACCCGATAATAAACGGACTCATACCCAGCCCCCCTCGGCTTGAAAAATAACAATTTAGGCAAAAATGTTGTTAATTACTAGGAATTTTTCTTTTTCTTTTACCATAGGTCACCTGAAACCTTTTGGTCAACATAGGGAAGCTGAAGGTGACATTACCAGCCTGAAGTATGCTCCAAGTGGCACTGACTTCTATCATAACTTTATACACAAAAGACAGCCTGTCATCATAAGAGGCGGTGCAAATCACTGGCCTGCTGTTCAACTATGGCAGAATGAATCTTACCTCACCTCACACTTTGGTTCTAGCATTTTTACTGTAGAATATCGAAAGAAGTTCAAGAATGAATTTCCTGTCAGAAAACCTTTAACTCTTAATGAATTTCTTAAAATTTACAAATCTGAAGAAGTTTACCTGGATTCAGCTTTTCCACCTAATGCATCCATGTTAAATGATGTTCTCTTACCATCACTTTTAAACTGCCATGAAATATCATCAACAATCGACAGTGTTAATTTATTATTTAACAGTGGAAGCGCAAACTCTGCATTTCATCATGATGGCTATGAGAACATTCTTACGCTCATCTCTGGAACAAAGAAGATCTATTTGGTCAACAGTTCGTACAGCAAGGATCTTAGAGCTGATCAGTATGCAATCACTCCAGGAGTGCTTCCTATTGATCCTGAGAAGTTAGATCTTGGAGCATTTCCAAAATTAGCAGATATACCATATTATGAAGTAACATTGAATAAAGGTGAGTTTCAGTGATTTCCTATTCTGTCTGATGAGATTTTTGTTGTTACTTAGAGCAGAGCTTACTTTTCCAGCCTTTGTTTTAGAGCTAAGACCAGATTTTCTCAGGCATAACTCTTGAGATAATTGCCAGCCTAAACTGGCCACCACCTCTGTGCAAAGATTTGAGTACGTGCCATGATAGGATTGTTAAAAAGCCCTTGTTGATTTGCCAATTAGGTTGAACGGAAATTCAAAATGTACTTCCAGGGCCTAGAACAAGGATATTGGTGCTGCTTCGCAGATGTTACTAACTGGGGTTAAATTACCTCTGCGATGCAGACTTGACAATGTTAACCTATCCTGATACCACAACCAGAGGGTCAAGGTAGGGAGGGCAGTACTACAAAAGAGACAGAGCCAGCTTTTAGTTCTCTGCCATATACCTACACTGTATCCACACAATTCATCCACTTATCTTCCATCCACCCATTTAAACACTCCTTTATCTATTTCCTGTTTTCAACCCAAGGAGGACTGGGTATAAGTCCATATATTGTGGGATTATTAACATAAAATCTACATAGCCAGAAAGAGGACACCGAGCCTTACAACATCCCCAAGTTTGGTGTTAATTATATGGGCAAATACTGAAGAAGATGCAGGCACTCAAAAGCGTGAAAATTTACTAAGAAATGTAAGGATTACAGGACAGGTTTTCTGGACGTCCATATAATTCTTTGCAGATTTTGGAGATTTTGAATGGCTGTAGCTTGTTTATCATGATAATAAAATTATAATAATAATAATCATCATCATTGGCCTGATTAACACCAAACTTGAGGATTTTGTAAAGCTTAGTGAGTTTTTCCTAACAATTTAGGTGTTGTGTTGATATTGCATAATATAATGACTTGCACTCACTCCCTCTCGGTTAAAACTAGGTAGAACCCCTTTACGTACATTTAGCAAATCGCCATAAAATGTTAAAAACGTTTGCAAAGTGTAGACTGTGGAAAATTGTGGTCAATTTGTTTTTTATAGTAGCATTTATTTTTACGAAACTCCAAAAACAAAGCAACTGGCACTGTGCGACATGCTACATCATTTCCAGGGTCTATATGCTCATAGACCATAGCTCTCGACCAATCAGCGCATGAGGATTCGCTCAGTTATTGAAAAAAGCCCATCCAACCTTTTTCCAGTCAGACACTTAGCCATGCGCCACCACTTCTTTCAATCCACAAACTAGACTACAGGTGAACCAGAGTGGCCATAGTAGAGAGTTTGAAACAAGAGTGGATGTATGGACTGTCTGCCCCCAAAGAATGGCCACTGTGGAGAGGTGGCCAATAGTGGAAATTCAACTTTATTTATTCACCTTTAATAATATTATTCAGTCTAGTCATAAGCAATTACTGTGTTATTTATTTTTATTTACAGGTGATATGTTGTATATACCTCAGTACTGGTGGCATGTTGTTCGCTCATATGACTCTCCCAATATTGCTGTCAACATGTGGTTTGGACTGTTCAACTATGAGGATAAATTTCAAGAGGCAGGGATTTCTGAAGATACTGATGTTGTTAAGGTAGTGGTACTCTCTTCAACTACATTTAGCTAGGCATGTTCCTTCCATGAAATCAGTTTATATCACCACTCACACTCTTAAGTCTTCAGAGACTATTGGTAATTTATAATCAAGCCTTCAGTGGCACGACCAATAACATTACAATCCAGTTGACTACTCAGTTTAACAACTAGGTTGCTAATACCATGAACTCTAGGCAATTTGAATTCAGTATCTTGGTTGCTCATTTGTCTTAAGTTCAGAGTAATAGGGAGCTTAAACAAAGACATTTTTGTGTGACGCACATCAGCCAGAAGTGTGACCTTATCCCTTTTAATATTCCTTAATGCTACCAAATTTGTATTGCTAAGTTTCTTTACTCTTAGAGAGACAATTTGCTAGAAAATGTGGGCAAACCCACCACCCAAGAATGCAAAAAGTCCTCTCCCAGTTGATGTGTGTTGTTCGAAAACGTCTTTGCTTAAGCTCCCTAATACTTCTCAACCTACATAATATGATGTCTTTCAGTTGTAATTTTCATAATAGGAAGTTATATTACAAGTATGTTTTATTTAACCTAATGTTACAAAGATGTCCTTGTCCTAGCATTTACTAATTTTAGTATTAAACTTATACTTAAGTGAAACAATTACGCAGCAATTATCATTCCATATCAGGTAACAGAGCTGTTTGACAAACTTGTCAAGGATGAACCAGATAAGATTCAGTGTCAAGAAGAAAAGCATGCTTTGAATGCTGTCCTAAAAATCAATGTAAGTGATCCAAGCAGTGGACCCCTGAGGATACCTAAGCAAAACAAGAGACCAGAAGATATTACCCTTGCTAGTGGTTATAAGAGTAAGTACAACACTGTGTTAGCTAGCAGTTCCTCAGGTGGCCTGGGCCACTTTAATATTTTGGCTTTTGAGTGATCAAACTCCAGAATCCCTTAATTACTGAAAAACTGACCTGTATTAAGCGGTCATCTTTTCCAAAGTCCCAACAAGTTATTTATTGTCTCCAGCTCTATTTAACGGTCACATTGACAAGGTGTACCATCCTAGTGCAACAGATCCACTATGCTTGACATTTAATGGTCTTTTCCTTTCTTTTATTTGGTACAAAAGGAGGTAGAAACAGTTTGAGGTCATTTTGTCATGGGATAGATATTTTGCTCTTTCAGCATCTTCATTTTCTGGCATGACTCTCAGGTTTGTCAAACCTGTATTTGGTGGTCAGTAAGCCATTCTCCATGGGTGAGCGCTTGATACAGGTTTGACTGTGTTGTGCTTTTTTCATAGCAGCTAGATCTACATGCAGGGGTTGCTTAAAATTTAACAGGGGTGGAGGTGGGAAGGGGGGGGGGGGTCTTATTTGAAGCTGGCTGCTAATTCAACCATTTACAGTACTTTGTTTTTTGTCTTTCTTCATCCCTCATTAGTGCCTGTGATGGGTCTTGGAACAGCTGCCCTTATGGAGAACACAACCTTTGCTGTTAAAACAGCACTTGAAATTGGATACAGGTTAATAAATACTTACATGTTATCCTTATAACAACTCCTGAAAGGTTTTGGTGACACCCCAAAATAACAAATTCTTGCTTTTTTGCATCAGTAGTTTGTACATGTAGTATGTGGTATGTGTGACTGACATTTAAACTAAATGAAATGACCTCAATGTCAAAGTGAAGATGACTTCCTCACACAGTTTTCTGTCACATAACTTCAAGAGAACTACGTTAACCAAACAGATCTTACTTTATTTTGCACAGTTGTGTACAGCTTATATGGCAAACAAAGAAATATTATGGAGAGGAAAAATGCCAAAGTGACAAACTCTTCTTGTTTTGTATAGGAGAAATTTAAAGATGGTCAGTCTGCTTTGTGGATACAATATGCTGTTCATTAGTTGAGCAAATTAATCTGTACAGAAACTGCAGAGAATAATGGTTTAGTGCTCAGTAGGAAGTTCTGTCAGGTTGTAATATGATACGTTCTTTACAGGAATACCAATTTAACAGCCTTACTCATTTGTCATATAGGTTGATTGATACAGCACAGGGATACCCTGATTCAGAACCACAAGTCGCTGAGGCCATTCAACAGAGTGGAATACCAAGATCAGAGATATTCATTATGACTAAACTCCATCCAAGATTTCTAGGATATGATACGACATTAGAGGCTGTTGAAATGTCCTTGAAGAGTCTCAAGACGGATTATATTGATATGTTTCTAATACACAGCCAGGCTTGTGATAGCTTCTTTTTGACTTGTGAAGAAGGTATTACGGTTTAGTCCCCATTTGTAGGAAAAAAACCTGTACCATATAGAAGGTTCACCCTCGCAGCTAAGTCATCATTAGCAAAAAACTGGCCTCTTTGCCCACGCCGACAGTGCATGCTCTGATTGTCTCGCCTTTTTTTTTTCATGGCGGGTGACCCGGCTGGGCGTGTTACCCCTCTAGCTAAGCCAACTTTTTGTTTCCCGTGTACACAGTTTGCCACATGTTGTAAAAAAATGTGTGAATAGTTGGCTCGCCAAGGTTGGCTCAGGTAGGTAGGTGACCCTTTGGCCTAAGGTCTTTTCGCCTACAAGTCGTTTCGCCAGCGTACTGTTCACTCCCTTTTGAAGTCGTTTCGCGTACGTGTTGGGTCAGTTCCCTAACCGCTTTTGCCTGATCAGTGGCTAAAAGAACGAGGTATATACATGTGTATCGCATTTTTTTGTGTCATGGCTTAGAGGAACGAGGCATATACATGCGCAGCGCTGGTTACCCTTCTTAGTGGAACGACGCAAGACGTTAGGGAACGCGACGTTAGCGAAACGACCGGTCATCGAACCTTCTACATTATACCTGGGACAGCTTTTCCCCATGAAAACGGGTCCTTGGATACATCACTGATTTTTTTTTGAGTTGCAAGAGCCGGTTCCGGGCTGTGTCAAAAATATACATTTTGTTATTCACTGTAAACTTACATTAATTTGCTTCCTTTTATTTTGCTATCTTTACACCCTACTACGTTGCTCGTTTACCGAATATTGAGAACAAAACTTTCTTTTTTCTTCCGTTGTATCAGGGGAACCAAAAGGAACATGGCAGGATAGCTGGAAAGCCATGGAAGAGATGCAGAAGAAAGGGAAACTGCGCAGCCTCGGTGTCAGTAATTTTGACGTTGAAAGCCTGGAAGAACTGGTTCAACTGGCCACGGTTCCAGTGTCAGCAGTTCAAAACTGGTTTGACCCGTTTCATCAAGATAGAGTTGTTCGAAAGTTCTGCGAGAAGCATGGTATTCGGTACATTGGCTATTCTACCCTTGGTAAGTTTTTGGAAGAGATTTAAAAAGCTAAAAATACAGCGAAGCCTTGTCCGGTTATCAACTTTTCTTAATTCAAAACTGTAAGAGCCAAGGATCTATGGGGAATTTATAAGTCTTTAAGTTAAGCATTGGACGTTAAACGTCCACTGATGGGGTTGGATTACGCAATAAGCACGTTAGCGTAGGAGGCTAAGGTGTGTGGTGAGCAAAATTCAAATTTCATGAACTGTCTTACAGAGTTGGCAATGATATAACTGCCAACATTGCCAAAAGAAGCCAATTATTAAAGATGTATGTCACGTTTGCGTTTGTTTGAAGTTTTTACTGAAGCCGGTCACTTAAGCTCTTATCAAGTCAGCTACTGCTTAGTCTGCGTTCTAATTGTTTGGCTGCGCTGGTAACTTTGGAACAAGTCCAGGTTAAAAGTGGGACAGTAGAGTACGTTTATTAGAATAATTTACTACTACGCCTTATAGTTCAGTCTTAGTTATTTGCAAGCTTCATGCAATGATCAACTTTTCTTTTTTTTGAAGGAACCCAGTGGGTTTACTTTCACGGCTTGCAAAAGAATCCCGTGCTAACTTCCTCTCTGATTTTGGAGATGGCTAGCCATTACGAATTTGTCGCCTCTCAAGTTGTTTTGCGATGGGCTATCCACGCCAACGTAACAGTGATACCAAGGTCGAAGAGTCCTCGCAATCTGTACTTGAATTTTCGATCTTTGGACTTCTCTCTCACTGACGATGAAATTGGTTATTTTGAAAACATCACAGATTATGAATTTCACCCCTTGGAGACTAAGATGTCTAAAGGAATGGGTAGGTAATTTTTATACGATACAGTGATTGTCACTCTAAACACAGGAAACTATGGTACTGTCTTCACTATTAAAGGTGGTTTGTTTTTGGTTTTTTTTATGTTACGAGCGAAAAAAACAGAGGAAAAATCTAAGTTCTCTGCAAAATTCTAGTTCGTAGCCTCCCAGAAGAACCATTGGACACACGTCAAGAATTCTCCTAGGAATGTAGTGTTCAAGGCAATTTCTAAAGCTATGTTCACGTTATACTGAATAGTTTTTTTCGTCGGCACGAAAACCTTACCAGATACGGCTTCTCTTCACTAATAAGAACGGTGATTTTGGCGCGATTTCTGTAACGGAGCGAAACTGCGCCGCGCTGATCTCTTATTTGGAGAGTCACATGTCACATAGGAGTTCATACTACATGTATACCGGATAGCTGGAGTTGCCTCTGGCTTCGTTGTCAAAATGAGGCTTACAGCAAAGTCTTTGATGTTGTCGTGCAAATCAAACTTATTTTTACCAGAAAGGACGTGCTCTTGCTCTCATTTCGAAGTGAGAGTTTTTGGAACTCGGAATGCCCTGTTGAGAGGGTCTACAATGTGATTCTTTAATCCCGTAATCCCGACCCAAAATTTTGTGTAATTTCGTAATCCCGAGGTTTTTTATATTGGCATCCCACCTCCCGCGATACCTTCAATTCTGAACCACGCCCCGATTTTGCCTCAAAATCCCGAATCCCGAGCGTCAAATAAGAGAAATCCCGGATCCCTACAAACCTATTGGCTACCCTCCTGTTACCTCTGTTTGTTTGGGCCAGTGATTCAACCATTGCTGAGTGTGTTACCTTGTTTAATGTGTATTTATTATTTGTTCAGGTTGTTCAGATAAACATGCGAACTGTCAGCAGTGGGCGGAATCTGGAGAATGCACAGTAAACCCAGACTGGATGCTGATTAACTGCCAACAAAGTTGCGGACTGTGTTGTGAGTTTTTAAACTTTCATGACATTTCCTCAGTAGAACGTCTTGTTATTCAAGCCCTCTCGATAGCAGACTGCTTAAAATTTAGATCAATTTAGGTTTCCAGGAAGCTGCCTTCTCACTCCTCCCCTAATCCAGCATTTTACCCTAAGCGAGAAGTAAGTGTTAATGTTGGCTTAGGGAAGGGGTAGGTAGAAAATTTCGTAGAAACTTAAATTGATTCTAAAATTTCTCAAGCCGTAAGTAATTTTTCTCAGGTTATTTTTTTCTTTTTTTCACTTTACTTTACAGATGACCAAGACCTAACAGATTCCGGAGTAGATGAACCCCTTGTTTTCGTTGGATCGGAAGATCATTACATGTACGCTCTTCACAATGCAGAAGGAACAGTTGTCTGGAAGTATAGAACTCTTGGGAAAATTATGTCCACTGCTGCCTTCAGTCACGACGGCGAAATCTTGTATTTTGGTTCGAACGACGGCAATGTGTATGCCCTTTATACGGCCGATGGTTCGTCAGTATGGACGCATAAGACCGATGGAGCCGTCGTGGCATGCCCAAGTGTCAGTGTGAACGGGATAGTTTATATCGGGTCACACGATCAGAACGTATACGCACTGGAAGATAAAACCGGGTCTGTTGTATGGACCTCAAATCTTGGGTGTGCCATTTGGGGTACAATTGCTATCGACAACGAAAGGGGACTTCTCTTCACTGGCTGTACGTCTGAAAAGTCAAACACTTCCGACGCCATAGATACTCCTCATATCTTTGCCCTGAATGCCAGTTCGGGAGACGTCGTTTGGAAGTTTGAAACCGCCGGAAACGTGTACGGCTCACCAGCTCTCGTGCCGAGCGGACATACCGTGTTCTTTGCCTCTTTAGACCATAATATTTACGCTCTTGATCGTGAAACTGGTAAGCTGGTGTGGTCTTATGACACAGGGTCAGAAATAGAATCCTCTCCCGTCGTGAGCCGGGCAGATGGCACGCTGTTTGTTGGATTAATCAAAGACCAGCTGATTGCTGTAGATACTGTAAGTGGTCCTTTAGAGGGAAAAATCAAGTGGAAAGTTAACACTGGTGGAGAGGTGGTATCGTCACCAGTCATTACTGAGGATGGGAGGGTAAGTTCAAATTGTTTGATGAAAATAATACGCCATTTCCGATTTCAATGACCAAGTCAAATGTGCTAAAGTGTGCATAGCCGTTCATGTGAAAATGAGCTTTCTTTGCTGGAGAACAGAAGGGCGCTTTCCATTTGTTAGAACTGACCGGCAAGGCCATTCCTGTCGTGATGAGAAATTCACTTTCAATCAAAGCTATCCAGCCAGATCAGTCAAATCCTAAATAACATGCACGAAGGAAATCGTTTTTCATCAAAACTCTTGGAAAAAGCCTATTTCATTTTCCAAATGACAGGTCCGGCCATGGTCCAGCCGGCCAGTTCTGACTTTTGGAAAGCGCCTTAAGCTTATGCTCTTGTTTTCAAAAGAGGCGAGGCTCAACACTAGAATGGCATAGTTAGTGGAGACGGAAGGCTAAATTACAATAAATTATTTGGTAGAAATGGAAAACTATTCAACGAAAAGGATATATAATCAATCAATAATGAAGGTACGAATCCCGCTTGCTGGTAGACAGATAGTTTGGGGCCTCCTGAATACTTTAAGAGGAGGGTTTTCTTTTCTTCACTTCCAATCGTTCTTAGCTCGCAGCCATTACAAATCTCTTGTGCAGAAACGGCTAAGTTATCAATTCGGTTTTTAAAAATATTGACGACTTCAAATCACAGGGGTAAGTAAAGCCTATCCCTTTCTTTATCTCATCCAGCTTCAAGTGTGGACGGGCAGTAAGTTTTAATCGTAAGTGTGACAACAGGGGCACCCTACGACGATTTCCTCCTAAATATATTGAAAACACTTTTTGGACTGTCTAGAGTACTTTTAGATATCTAGGAATGCATTCTAAGCGGCGCTATGAAATTTGTAACTGTTCGGTCATCCTAGGGGAACTTGAGTCTTTTCGAAATTACAAGGGCTTCAGTATTATCTTCCCGAAAATTTTGGATGCAGTTTAACGTTTTACGAAAGTGAGAATTTTCCAATTTCCTCTCTCCGTCACATTTTTAATCCGGAAATTTTAGGTTTCCTTTTTCTGCGAAAAATAGCCCAGCATTGGGAGTGAGATGTGAAAAAATAATGTTCGTTCAGAACATTGTAATAGAACGGGCATCCAGAAATTTTTAGCTGTCCTAAACCAATAGAAAATTCTAGGCCGCGTTTGCTTTTCCGAACAGATATTTTACAGAAAATGGTCGTTGGGTGGCCCTGTGACAATTTCAAAACCTACTGAACATTACTTTACTTGGTTCTTTTTTCTAAAAAAAAAACAAGCAGTATTTTACAAATCAGTAGAATTCCTCATGACCCATTTACTCAGACTTGATACTGTTTCTGACTCTTCAGGTTTTCATTGGTTCAGGCGATGGACGCATTTTGGCTGTCAATCAAACCGACGGTTCCCATATATGGTCACCAACAACTGGTGACTACGTCGTGGCTTCTGTAGCAGTGTCACGTGATAACGTAGTGTATGCGGCCAGCTCAGACAAGTTCCTGTACGCTTTGCACGGTAATGATGGCTCTGTAATCTGGAAGTTTCAAACTGGTGCTGCTATTGTGGCATCTCCCTCTTTGTTTCCTGAACATATGATGCCCGTTGGTTAGTCAGAGAAGTTCTTTTTTCCGCTTCAGCAAAACGTAACGTTTCACATTCTAAAGAAATAACATAATTTATTTCCTTTTATATCGTAAGAGCAGTATTTTAATTACTGTGGTGCGTTTAAAAGCTTTGCATATAAATGAAGTAAATAATGTACATAAAATAACCTATAATTTATATGCAGATGTCCGTTTATTGTTCAAATGGGCTTAAAAGACAATATAAAAGAAAGGAGTAAGCTTGAAATGATAAAATACGTACATGTAATAAAAGATGATAATTTATCCACAATCTATTGTAAAGTAAACAATATAAATTGAGTAATTAAAATGGAAATGAGATCTGAGAAAAGGAAAAATATCGTTTCAGTTACAGAATCCTTAAAAAAACAGTGTACGAAAATTATTAACCGTTAAGTTGGTTTACGATTTCGTCAAAGAAACCTAAGACTAATCTACCAATCGGATTGAAGTACTTCGTAAGCACTAGTTGAATTTCGCGGTTCATTACGTCCTTGACGGATCCATTAGAGTCCGTTATATGGCCTTAAGCAACACTTACGTGATTGTTTTTTTTGTTTTGTTTTTTTGTTTTTTGTTTTTTCTGTTTTTTTCTGAGGTGCTCCTGTGGTGTGTTAACATTTGCCTCGTGGTAGCCTCGATTTATGGCACTTGGGTTTTTTGGATTTCACTGAAGCGGGAAACTGGAAAATGAAAAATGGCAAGAAAACAAAGCATGACTAATGAAGTTACTGATAGGGCAAAGGGTTAAGTTACAAGGTTTTGTTCCAATATTTTATTTTCCCTTTCCCCGTTCCTCATTCCTCGTTCCACATTCCCTGTTCTTCGTTTTAGTGAAATACCAGCTTCTCCAACCATGACTAATTTGGGACAGATATCGCAAATAGAAATCAGTAACAAAACAACGCGCGCGTGACAAAAGAAGTGACTTCAAAAGTGATTTCCCTTTTTCCTAGAAATGACGGAAATTCTAGATACAACAAGCTTTACCAAACTGATCCGAAGTTAATTTTAACGGTGATAAAGATCAATTAGAGACTTCAGAACAAAAACGTGGTCAGACATCCTATAGCCTTTTCGGAAGCCAATTTGGTTGTTGTGTATTATATTGTGTTCGTCGAGATATTTTGTAAGACGGTCATGAATAATTAGGGTAAAGAATTTACCTAGACAACTACATACAGTAATTCCGCGATAGTTATTAGGGTCGCCTACATCACCCGCTTTAAAGACGGTTGAAATATAAGCCACCGACCACAACTGGGGAAATATGCCGGAATTCAAAACTTTATTAAAAAGAATTTGCAATACAGGCCCAATGATGGATATAGCAAGAAAAATTCTTGTTACTTTTGCGATTTTTGTGAAATTTGCTATCCTGATAGCAGTTTTATTTAAATTTTTTTGCTGAAATTACGAAAAGAACTTGTTAGCAAAGTTTTGCTAACATTAGATCATAGTTTGACCAAAGAAATAGTTTTTTTTTTTTGACGGTTGGTCAAAGGTCTTAACTTTGGCTTCAGTCAAACATATCAAATTACATTGAGTTTCGTGCGGGTAATCTCACAGTAATATTTTCGGCAAAATTATATTGACAACTTGAAAATCAAAAGTCAAAGTTTTGCGTTTCATAATCTTGTACCAAGGAATGAAATTGTTAAAATGTCGCTGAAACATTTCTAATTTTGAATGCTACTTGAAATTCAGGAAGATGGATTTGATGAATTCGTCGAAATGTTGATTTGTTCAGAGACTGATCGCAGTCTTCGTGCAATAACCCCGCATGTTAGTATCTTAATAAACGCGTCTCTGTAGGGCCGAAGTCTCCAGGCAAAGACAAACGGATTCATACTGGAATTAGCCATGATTAGGATGTAGTTCAAATCTCTCGCCCAGTGAAGAAAATCACAGTTACAGCTTGCACAAAAGCTTATGATCAGGATAAGGATCAACGAAGGAAGAAAACACGAAATAAAAAGAGTCAACATGATCAGAAATGTCTTAGTTACTTTCTTCTCCCATTTGATCGTTCTCTTCTTGACGTGGTTATAACTCTCTGAGCCTTGATGTAACGTGTCCCAAGTCCTGATTTGATTTTTAAAACTTTTGAAAACTTTCACGTAGGTCAAACAAAGCACCACAAATGTTGTCACAACAGCTGTGATGGCGAAGAAAAATTGGTATTTTAGATAGCCGACACTGAAATACAGAAAGGGAAACCCAATGGAGATAGTCCATATTGAAAGCAAGATGACAGTGGCTCTTCGAGAATTCAATTTAGCTCTGTATTCCATAGGGTTAGTGATGGCAAAGAATCTGTCCACACTCATTGCAGCTAAACTAAAAAGCGATGCTGTACTCGAGATGAAAGTTCCCACACGTCTTGCGTCATCTCGAGGAAGAAGTGTAACTTGTTTTGTCGAAGCCTCTCGAACGTAGAACTCCGCCGACATTGGCAATGCAAAACAACCCACTATTAAATCGGCTGTCGCCAGGTTAGCGACTAGCAAATTGAAAGGCGATCGTAGATTGCGATTTGGATCAATAATTACTGCCAGAAACACAAGGATATTTCCTACTACAGCTACAACGGAGAGGACTGAACAGAATGTAGCTGAAGTGATGCTTAAACTAGTGGGCGCCGAGATGTTTGTGCAAGGGTACGATCCCAACAGTGACATGTCTGTATGCGAAGATTTACCCTCAGTAACCAGGTGATAACTCAGTTCATTTTGTATTCAATAACCATGATTAACTCAGGTGGGCTGCGGAGATGATCTTACGGTATATAAAATGGCAAGCTCGTCATTTCAGCCCAAAAGGAAATAAAACTTGTAAGTAAGACAATGAACAGAATGACAGCCACTTTTATATTGGATAAGCTCACGCAATAATTACTAACCTGACAACTCGTGATAATTTGAAAATACCGTATTGGACTGGATCACCCTATTATCTTGGAACAAATGAGTGACAGTCAAGGCACTTCGAGAATAAAGAGCCGCAATTGGAAAATCAGTTTGAGTCATGAGAAATATATATTGCGCTATTAGACACCGCATTGGAAACTGAAAATAAGCTAAGATAAGTAAATTCTCAGAACGCGAAATTAACTCAACTCCATGACAGTCACCTTTGTCCTACAATCGGTAGGTGTTTCACCTTCCAGTATATTTGTTGATTTAAAACAGCATTACGTTGAAAAAGGCGATAGGATAAGTAAAGTAGCCTGTCTACAGCCGAGGGGGCGGCTGTACACAGGCTAATGTAAAGTGAAAATCGCGTTTTCGACTCATTCCACTTTCCCAAGAATAATAAAGGACTTCTCGAAGTCTATCATGAAGTGGCCTTTTCGTATAAATACTATGAATTCTTGATGATACTTTAAATTTGCGATTTTTAAGTATACGTATTTCACAACGCTTAATTATCGCGAATTTCCTGAACGTAGGTTTGTATGAGAAGGGCGGTATTTGACGGGTATTTGACAGTCCGTTTGCCTAATTACAATTTTCCCTCACTAAAGATATTGAACTTTTTAAATGATCACGATACCCGAGAAATTAGCGTCGTAAAACTTGCGTCTATTAAGGGAGCTGAATTAATGAAGTATATTTCAGCCTCCCTCATTTTCGTTATTGCCAGCTGATCTAAAAAGTCGTGTCAGCTAATTCGAAATGAAACTTCCAATTTTTAATTTTCATTAATTCTTCTTGTCATGTGTGTAATCAATTTTTTTAAAAAAATATCAATCGCCCCATTTTTCTTATCCTTGATCTAAATTTAATTTCCCCAATGGCGATTTGTTTTTAGAGAGCCGAGCGGGAGCTTGTAGTTTCAGTCCGGCTCAACAAGAACTAGGCTGAAATTCCACTATGCGGTCGCTAATTTCTTCTGATTTGACTGAAGATTTTTCTTGAATATCCTCGGGCGCTTTTCAAAATAACTAACAAATAAATTTTGCGCTCATCTTAGACACCAACCGATTAATGAAACCAATCTAGCCTGCGAAAACATCCGTTTGTCCTCGTTCTTCGCAGCTTCATCAGCGGCGGTCGTGTCAGCTAATTCGAAATGAAACGTCCCATTTTAAATTTTCATTAATTTTTCTTGTCATGTATTCAAATTTTTTTAAAACATCAATTCCGCCGTTCAAGAAAAGAATTGCTTTTCTTATCCTTGATCTAAAATTAATTTCGTCTTCGGTGATTTGTTTTTAGAGAGCCGAGTGGGAGGCTGCAGTTTCAGCCCCGCTCAACAAGCCATGACTAGGCTGAAACTCACAGTAGGTGTACGGGCCGGTGTGGGGGGGGCAAGGGGGGCTGCAGCAGCCCAAAATTCGGCGTGGTAAATCCAATTAAATTCGCACGAGACAGTAGTGTGAAGAAAAATTCAACAGCGTATGGCAGATAGCATCAGCAATGGGTCTGAAAATGAAGAAGTGACTGACCAGTTCTCAGTTTCAATTACGAAGCCAGCGCACTCATGACAATCGCCATCGCGCGGCCTTCAAGCCCTTGTAGGTGACCACGCGCAAAGACAAACGCAGCTGACACCGGAATCGCACCACCCTATAGCCTGCTTCACAGACGTAATTTCACCTCGGTTAGTAAGGTCTGCGAAGCATTGCCGACATCTTTGTGCTGGCCCCCAAAGGACTCAGAAAATTACCGGAAGTGCGTTTCAAATTTGCTTTCGTGTTGATTGGCAAATCGACAATGGCTTTTTTAAAAGGCCAATCATGGCGCATACTCAATTTCTGGTACACAAGTGGAGGCTCAGGGCTGTTTCGCATACGGACTTAACCAGAGTTGAGTTTCGTCTGTGGCGCAGGTCAACCACGTAAACCACCGACAAGGTGCTGTCCGAGATTGAGCTCAGGTTTAGCGCAAATGATCAGTAAATACGCTGTGCCTTAGGAAACATCTGTCACAGTGAAACACCTGATAAAGAAAGCTTCTCCCGCGTTGCTAAATTTTACAAAATCGACGGCGAAGCCTAGCAGAAAATGTTCGCGAGTTTTCGTCGTGTGCGCGGAGTAGGCTACATGACTGTTCCAGAAATGCCGGAGACAATGCACAAGAATGATCTATTTGATATGTTTTCAGTGTTTTCTTAAGTGGTACATATCTTTGGAATGATACCTGCTACATTGCATAGCGTTCTGCAGAACGATCAGTCAGTGCGTTGTGCAGATTGAAAACTTACATGTACCTCCGCAGGGGCATGGGGCAACAACGTTTCAGTAACATCGCACTAATTAACATTGAAAGGTATATTGGAACTCTGTAGTGAACAATGACATGGACCGTATCATTGATATCCTCGGCCGTCAAAATGGCAAAGACAGCGCGTGTTTTATGAGCTCATAAGATAGATTCATATATAAGAATATTTTTACTGCACATGTAGGCCTCTGCTGTTGCATTGTGTGACCCTCGACTGCTGGAACGATTTAAGTCCTGAGCAGAACATGAGTTCTCTGTCTTTCCCGTCGCCTTCTAGGTCGAAAAACACCCATAATTACAAGAAAACACGCCTCAAGTAGGAGTCGACGATTCACAGCCGCCGTGCTGAATTTGAGGAATGGCGCGAGCTATGTTGTTAGACCCAGGTTCCCTCGGTCTTCATCCAGCGATCGCAGCAATAATTCACTGCGATCGCTGAACCATTTCTGTCAGCGAGGCCAAAGGCGGAGGTGGATAACACCCTCCGAGATCTGCTTAATTCTTCATATCCTACGAAAGCCAAATTCATTTTACTTTATTATTCATTCAAAATAATTCCTAGTTTGTTATCAGGTTTATCGATTTTTCAGATCCTTTACTTAATTTTAGCTTTATTTAAAGGAGCTTTCAATCTTCTACTATGTTTCGAATATACCACGTACCGAAACTACAAAGAGAAGTCAGGCGGCATCATTTCTCTACAAATTTGACTTATGCAAATTTGTGACATTTTGCCACTGGTGGTCACGAAACTTTTTATTTTGCAAACGCGAATCTGGAGTTCCCAGATTTTTTATTTCATATTCTGTTAATATAAGAGCTGAACTTTGTCCTAGTATACACTTTGGCTAGATATCACGCATACCAAGGTGAGTTTTTTGCCTCTGAAGTTGTCATTTTTGACCCATTTTAAAAAGTGCGCTTGGTGGTAGTTTTAAAAAACCGTAAAAAATTCAAAATCACGTCTATGGTTTAAAACGTACCATGGAAAGAAAGAAAAGATAGAATGCTTTAAAACAAACATATGTCTGTTTTATAGCTTTGAATCTTGCTTCGGTACAGACGCGATCGCGATAAAGTCGATCATTTTTACTCTAATTTTTGCATAATTTAATTAGGTAAAAACAGCTATCTTCGATTTTCCTTATTTTCTCGAAAACTATAGATTCTCAAAAGCTAAAAATATTTTTTTCGAAGATAGTTCCCCAAAGGGGTTTTTCTGACAGATTATCAGAATTTTCAATTTTTTAGCCTGGCAAGCCGAGCGATTCTCGATATTTACGGTCATGGGCTCTTAACATTGTTTCTGACGCTGCAGGTTTTCATTGGTTCAGGCGATAGTTGCATTTTAACTGTCAATCAAACCGACGGTTCCCATATATGGTCACCAACAACAGGTGACTACGTCGTAACACGCGTGAAAAACGCAGTGCGCATGCGTTCAAAGTTATGCGCGATACCAAAACAAACTAGATTCCGGCCGCGAAATTAAAAAAAGTAAGCTCCACACACGAAAGATAAGCTTAGAATTTCACGAACACAAAGTTTATTAATTGCTTTAGTTTCTCTCTTTTGCACCACATACTTTCCTCCTTGCACCAAAGGCGAAAATCATGTTTGAAAGTCCACGCTCGCTCTGGCAGCACTTCGCCGTAGCCATTGTTGCTGTTTTGGTCATCATGTCGCTGAGCTCGGTCAATGCGAACACGGAAAACGACCAATGCATGCTAAGTGGAAAAAAAAGGACGGAAAAACCTTGTACTGGACGACTTTACCAGTTCGTTAGTTAAGATAGATTAAGTAATTTTTTGTTGAGCTTAATACTAGAACCGGCTGCAAACCATTAAACATATCAAACATTCCTAAATGTTTTTCAATTTAAATGGGGAAGGTTTTGCAAATTTTAATTATTAAAAATAGAGACCTTGCGCATGCGCAGACGTTTTACACGCGTGCCCTACGTCGTGGCTTCTGTAGCAGTGTCACGTGCTAACGTAGTGTATGCGGCCAGCTCAGACAAGTTCCTGTACGCTTTACACGGTAATGATGATTCTGTAATCTGGAAGTTTCAAACTGGTGCTGCTATTGTGGCATCTCCCTGTTTGTTTCCTGAACATATGATGCCCGTTGGTTAGTCAGAGAAGTTGTTATTTCCGCGTCAGCAAAAGGTAACCTTTCACATTCTAAAGAAATATCATAATTTATTTCCTTTTACATCGTAAAATCAGTAATTTAATTACTGTGGTGCGTTTAAAAGCTTTGAATATAAATGAAGTAAATAATGTACATAAAATAACCTATAATTTATATACAGGTGTCCGTTTATTGTTCAAATGGGCTTAAAAGACAATATTAAAGAAAGGAGTGAGCTTGAAATGATAAAATACGTACATGTAATAAAAGATGATAATTTATCCACAACCAATTGTAAAGTAAACAATATAAATTGAGGA